AGTCACTCCATTTCGTGCTAGAGGCTTCCTCTAGTCACTCTACATTATGCTAGAGGCTTCCTCTAGTCATTTCCCGTCATGCTAGAGGCTCCCTCTAGTCACTCTCCGTTATGCTAGAGGCTTCCTCTAGTCATCTTACGTTATGCTAGAGGCTTCCTCTAGTCACCATTCAATATGCTAGAGTCTCCCTCAGTCATATTATCAAATTCCTAAGCAACTTCTATGCCTAGGATCACTTCATATTGAGTAGTCTTTAAGGCCCACCCCTAGCTTAACTTACCATTTACACATTCCTACATTAAAGTATCTCATAAGACTACTTAAGGTATATCTTTCACAATCCAAGCCCTTAGAATTTATTCTATCATTTTTCATGTTAACATTCCAACTAGTTTTTCAATACTAGTCAAGTAATCTTAGAACAACCAAGTTCTTAATTCATAGACATATTGCTCATCTCAATTGATTTTCCAATCCAAATATGATTTAACCCCAATATAAAAAATATCACTTTTATCCATTCATAATTTCTTTACATGAAGTAAAAGTATATTTTATCACAATATTTCACAATTAATTTCATTATCATGCTATCATATTCATAATACACAATCATACACAATCTCTTTTAAATTTGTATATCATGCTTCATTTACTCATATGCAATTGTATTTTCATTTAGGTATTATTAATCATTAATAATCCATGAAAATCACACTTAATACTTTAGGTAATTTTATGAAATTAACTCACTAATTATAAGCAATATAGTCGGTGATCCTCACCTCGAATGAGCTTTAAGAACTTCTACCCTTCTCGGTTGAACTCCGGCGATACTCTGGCGACAGTTAGGAACACCTTAGTCAAGCTCCTAACAAGGTTTTATTATCACAAAACCCATATCAACACAAATAACCTCTAAAAGGTTATTTTCCGGCGAACCAGTCATTTGGCTTCTAAGTCTGTTCTTGGACTTAGAACTACCTTCCAACCCCTTGTTCTACACTTCTAAACATGTAGAACAAACCCAGGGGTCCTCCATATGCTATATAAGTCATAATATAAATAAGAAGTAGAGGAAAAGTTATTATAAGGTTATTACCTAAATCCTTCACACTTTTCCTAACTTTTTCCTTCTTTTCTCTTCTTCCTTGGACTAACTTTTCTTGAGCTATGTTCTTGGATATGGAGGAAGTAATTTTCAGAGGTTTTCTACCCCTCTTAATAAGCTTTGGTCTAGCATATGGGGTGGGGGTGATTGAGAATGCCTTTTTGGCATTTCTCTCAATCATACATAAAAGGGGTCCTACCTCCTTTAATGCTTGGTCTCTCAATTAATTTTCATTCATGCATTTAGTGGCTTGTGCGGCTCCTCCTTGCTAAATGCAAGACTAGAAAACGTGGGTTGGCCCACACATAAGTGGGAGGTCACCCCTTTGAGTCCAGAAGTATACAATCGGCCCCGAAAGTTGTATTTCGCGGACTGTTTTATTTATATTTTATTTTATCGGGTCAAATAATATATAACACATGTTACAAATCATTAAAGTCCTTTAGAATTGATGTACATTCCCCAACTTATATTTAGAAGTCTCGGAAATTCATTTTGGACTGTTATCCGATAAATTGCCAATACAAGTAATTGGGCCTCATTTGACCAACAGGTCAACTTTATGCCTTATCTATGGCCCAATTAAAATATCCACCACCATAAACATATTATTTAGAACAAGAAGAATATAATATGTGGTTTTGGAATTATTGGGTGGTCCCCGTTTCTGGTGTGGGCCCCACGTGCAATTTACTATTCACGTAAAAGAATTAATAAAAATTTACAACTTCGCAAATTCATAATTCATTCCTCAAGGTTTATTATATAATTTACTAAAAAGTAAATATGCTTGGGGACGGTGTCACAAATTCACCCCCTTAACGGGAATTTCGTTCCCGAAATTCACAACGCTTATTCAAACAGAAATGCATACTGTTCCTTCATCAAGGCCTCTGGTTCCCAAGTTTCTTCTTCAACTCGATCACTTTTCCAAAGGATTTTCACCATTGGAACTTTCTTGATCCTTATCTTCTTTACTTATCTATCGATTATCATTGCCGGTTGTACGACATAGTTCGAGTCTTCCCGTATTTCCACGGGTGGTTTCTCTAATACATGAGATGGGTCCGGCACATACTTCTTTAGCATAGACACGTGAAACACGTTATATATCTTCTCCGATTCTGGAGTCAACTACAATGGGTATGCTACGGCCCTAATTCTCTCCAGAATCACAAATAGCCCTATGTATCGTGGATTAAGTTTCCCCCGGCTCTGAAATCGGATGATCCCCTTCCAAGGTGAAACTTTCAAGAACACATCATCTCCCACCTTAAACTCTAACGCTCTTCGGCGCTTATCGACATAGCTCTTTTGTCTATCCTGGGCCGTCTTAAGCCTCTCACGAATCATCTTTACCTTTGCCTTGGTGATTTCCACCAACTCTGTACTTTCAAGATTGGCCACGCCAACCTCATCGCAACACAACGGTGTACAACATCTCCTCCCATACAATGCCTCGTATTGAGGCATGCCTATACTTGCCTGATAACTGTTGTTATAGGCAAATTCCACCAGTGCTAAGTGGTTGTCCCAACTTCCTTGGAACTCCAATGCACAAGCTCTCCACATATCCTCTAATATCTAAATAACCCGTTCGGATTGCCCATCGGTCTGTGGGTGAAAAGTTGTGCTAAACTTCAACTTTGTTCCCATAGATTCTTGGAACTTCGGCCAAAATCGTGATGTGAATCATGGGTCTCTATCAGATACAATGGTTATTGGAACTCCGTGTAGCCTCAGGATCTCATCCACATACAATTTGGCTAGCCTCTCCAGTGCATAGGTGGTGTTGATAGGTAGAAAACATGCACTCTTCATGAGTCTATCAACCACAACCCATACAACATCATAGTTCTTAACCATCCGTGGTAGCCCCACCACAAAATCCATAGTCACGTGCTCTCATTTCCATTCGGGAATGGAAAGTGGCTGTAGTAACCCAGCTGGATGCTGATGTTCTGCCTTAACTTGCTGACAAGTAAGACATCTACTTATGTACTCAGCTATTTCCCTCTTCATACCAGACCACCAGTAACTTTCTTTCACTTCACCTCCCGGGTGCATGGCATACGCCGATGAATGGGCTTCCTCAAAGATGGACTTTCGGAGCTCATCATCCGACGGTACACACACTCGGTCACGAAATAATAAGAGACCATCGTCTCTTTCCCTGAAATCCTCAACCTGTCCCGCTAGCATGCGTTCACGGACCTTCATGAGCTCTTCGTCAGTTTCTTGACCCTTCTTGATCTCATCAAGTAATGTGGGTCTCACCTCGAATCTGGCTAACAAGGCACCATCACTAGATACCTCCAATTTAGCTCTCAATGCCCTCAGGCTAGTCAACAATTCTCCCGATGAGCTCTTTCGGATCAAGGCATCCGCTACCACGTTGGCCTTACCGGAGTGGTACTCAATAATTAGATGGTAGTCTTTTATCAACTCCATCCATCACCTCTGTCTCATGTTTAACTCTCTCTGAGTACACACGTATTTTAAGCTCTTATGGTCAGTGTATATGTGACATGTCTCCCCGTAGAGATAATGTCTCCAAATCTTCAGTGCAAATACCACTGCCCCCAGCTCTAGGTCATGAGTAGGATAATTTACCTCATGCTTCTTCAACTGCCGTGAAGCATAGGCAATCACCCTCCCATTTTGAATCAACACACATCCAAGCCCTTGGATGCTCGCATCACTGTAGACAGCGTACCCCATACCCTGTTTGGGCAATGAAGTACTGGTGTCTCGATCAATCTCTTCTTTAGTTCTAGGAATCTCTTTTCGCATCAGTCATCCCATACAAACTTAGCCCCCTTTCGAGTGAGCTTTGTCAATGGCGATGCCAAAACTGAGAACTTCTCCACGAACTTCCTGTAGTAACATGCCAATCCGAGGAAACTACGAATTTCCTTGACGTTCTTTGGCCTCTCCCGTTCGGTAATGGACTCAATCTTCTTGTTATCCACAACAATTCCCGATCCCGAAACCACATGCCCGAGAAAGCCAATCTCTCTTAGCCAAAATTCACACTTGGAAAATTTAGCATAGAGTTGCTTCTCTCGTAGTGTCTCAAGAACAAGTACTAAGTGCTCCTCATGCTCTTCTTCACTCTTTGAGTAAATCAAGACGTCATCTATGAACACAATCACAAACTAGTCCAAATACTTATGAAATACTCGATTCATCAAGTCCATGAATGCCGACGGGGCGTTTGTTGGCCCAAATGACATGACTAGGAACTCAAAGTGACCATACCTTGTGCGGAAAGCACTCTTCGGTATGTCATCCTCCTTTTACGAACTCGATCTCTCTATCGGGTGGAAGCCCCGGTAGGTCTTTTGGGAAGACGTCCGGATACTTGCACACTACTCTCACATCATTGATGTCTAATTCTTCCTTGGTTTTGTCTACCACATAAGCTAGATACACGTGACATCCCCTTCTCATCATATTTCTTGCTCTAACAGCGGATATGATACAACTGTTTAATTTGCCTCGATCACCCTCGAAGCGTAGGGTATTCCCATCATTGCCTTCGAGTTCCAGAACCTTCGTGTAGCAATCTACCCTAGCATGATGCTTTTCTAGCCAATCCATCCCTAGGATCACATCAAAATCAATCATTCTCAGTGGTACGAAATCACACGTCAAGGTTTGGCCATCGACTTCCACCTCACAAGATGGATAGTAACAAGTCCTCTCAACGTCATCTCCTAGTGGTGTTGATACCATTAGGATTTGCGTCAACGGTAATAATTGTATTTCCAAACCCTCGACAAACGCCTCACTCACGAATGAACGTTGTGCCCCAGTATCGATAAGGATACGTGCATCTTTCCCATTAATCCTTAGTGTTCCTACATTTATAAGTTATGTAAGATACCTTCCCTACCAGCGTGAAAAAATGAAGAAAGAGATTCTCCTACTTCTCTCTACAATTCCAGCGTATTGACTTCCGAAAATGGAATTCCAGCAACACAATCGCCGGATTCCTTATCCCGTAGAATACGAACATACTTTCTACACTCATAAGCACCTCCCTGGTTTCAATCATCACCACCCGCACCGCAACCGGAGCAAAGCAAATTACAGGGGAGTCAACTTCAATTACGGGAAAGGCTTCTACCATTCGCACAGGTATATTCCTACATACTACAGCTCAAACGACAACTTCAAGTCAAGACGCTATGACGAAATTCACACAGGTAATCGTTTTAACCCACACCCCTATTCACGTCCGGAACTACTCACGTCAGCCAGTTCCTACTGGAGTCCTAACTATCACAACAGGGCTAATTGGGATTTCCCAGTCCGCCCTGAAGCTCGTCCTATTCGGGTTCAAGGTTACGTGCACCAGCGCCAGTCAGTCCGGCCACCTCCCACACTACCCCCTAAGAAATTAGAGAATTGGAGTTTGGTCAAATACAGGGGGGGACGACAATCCAACGACCCTGCCCAGCGAATCCCGGGATCCCTACCACCCATCTCAGAGAACAAAAGGGAATCTGGTTTTACTAATCGCTACCTGTGTTTAAGAACCGACGATGACTTCTGCACATAATCTGAGGTCGATTTGGACTCTCTCAGTCCTATTGACAATCAGGTAGTTAGAAGGCACAAAAATCATAAGAAACTTGAGCGAGGAATCGAGACAGCCAGACGATATCCAACAGTTTCAGACCACGGTGGACACAGCCGTAGGCCGGAAAACCCTTCGCCACCGTCACCCATCACTTCGCCAGGCACAACAACTGTCAAGCCTACAACCGACACTCTGTGCGCTGTAGACAATACCTCGACAAACACAGCCATTTGCACATGGGCCGATCTGCTCAAGGGTCCTATGGAGAAGACAAACGGCTCAAATAATGGCTCCTCTTCGACCACAAAAATCCAATCCACTGGACAGGCTGGAACGTCGGTTAATATTGAGCGACCAGGTACATCCGTAAATGGGAATTTTGACGGTAAAGGAAAGGTCTTAACGGATAAAGACCATTTTGATACACTTGCACTGCTAAACGCAACGGAAAAATACTCTTTCTACATCCTTTAAATTTGCAATGAAAAATGGAGATTTGGTCTTCTTTCAAATTAAAAGATCTCTTATGCATAAAATACACATCAAAGTCGACCTTGTCCCGCAAATCATCCGGTTCATCTACCAGCTTACAACCCCTGCTCAGAATAATTCTGAGAAAATAAAGAAATTTGGAGATCTCACTATCTCTGTGGAATTTAACAGATCGGGCTACAACGTAAAAATGGCGAAATTTAAAGGGAGCTTCATCCGGATACCCATGGGACCCCAAAATTCTAGCCTATTCAAATTCCTTAATATCTTTTCTAATTTTGCAGGCATCCCAAACTCTATGCCCGATGAATCAATATTTCTCCAACACAGGTGCGTATTAGAACCTGAGGATCACACATCCATATCTAAACTGATTTTTAATTATCAGATCCAGGCGGCAGGAAATAAGAATAATCAGGTCTTCCACGACAGGAAAAAACCCGAGCTGCCATTGATCCAAGCTTTCTCAGATGCATCTGATGATTTTTACCATTCAGATGACTCACTATTTACCGATGATTTCTTGGGACATGCAACCAAGAGCGATCGCCGTCCTCCTATTTCATACCCGGAAGAAATTAGGAAATCAAAATTCAATACTGCGATCTGCTGGAAAACTAATTTCATCACCTCAGAAAATTATATGCCGACTGAGAACTTGAACACGCAGCTAAAAATCTACAGGAAGTCTCAAAAGAATAAGAGGCGACACAGCATGCAAACTAGGTCCCAATCGAGAGATTTCCCATGGAATTAGCCTTCTTCTCCTTTAATTTAGTACTTTGATTTATCTTTTTTTCTCTTTCTTGTACTTCTTTTTTTTTGTTTCCCTTTTTCGCATTGTACTCTCAATTTTTCTCAATAAAATCTCCCCTTTCCAAAAAAAAAAAAAAAAAAAACTTCCCTACCATCTCTATACATTTATAGAGGTTTACTATGTTCACACACATGTTCGGGATCAAGGAAAGGTCTTAACGTTGCAAAACGTCATAAAAACCCCATGTTGGGCAGCCTGGGTGCCACGCACGGCGTGCGTAGGAGGCACGCACACGTGCGTGGCTTCGGTCTTCCCCCGTGGCTACTGCCATCCACGCACGGGGGACACACAGAGGTACGCACGGAGTGACGCATGCGTGCGTCCGGGTACGCACGGCCGTGCGTGGAGCAATTTATCTCCGGAAGCCCATTGCCCCCCACACACGGAGGAACGTACACGTGCGTCCTGCTGTGCGTGGAATTGTTTTTTCTTCAAAAGCTCACTGTCCCCCAAGCACGGAGGAACGCACGCGTGCGTCCGGCCATGCGTGGAAATTGTTTTTGCCCAACCCAGCGAAACCTCCCGGTTCGTCCCCGGGGTGGCCCGTACTCAACCCCCACAGCTTCCACTACCCATATAAGCCTAAAAACATTCAAAATTTGATGTATTACCAGCGACAGAATCCGGGTTAGCTTGAGCGTCCGCCTCTGTCATCGCATAAACTCTAGCTTGAGTTCTCCCTTGGTTCACGTAGGGTGCGTTGATTGCACTTGCCCCGCCGTGCCCCACGCTTGCATTTGGTGCCCCACCCCGGCTTCTACTCACCGTGGTTGCACTACTTGGCCCTGGTGACCGGTTCCCACCAAGTTGAGTACAGTTCGGACTTATGTGCTCCGTATCTCTGCATTGGTAGCACCGTGGGGGATCACAACATTTGACCCCGAATTTTGCCCACCCATGCTGGGATTCCCCCTCGATGGTGGTGCGGGTGTCCTGAAGGATCCTCTTCCCCCATGGTTTCCCTTTTTGTTAGAACCTTGGGGGCCGTGGTTTTCTCACTTTCTCTTCTTCGCCTCCTCGACTTTTTTCAGCTTCCTTTCCTCCCATTCTTTTTCTCCCTTCAAGCCTTGCTCAACTACTTGACTGAACGTCCTGTTGGGAAATTGTGTTGCCCTCTCACGCACGTCCAAGTCCAAGGCATTCCAGAAATGGTTCACCATCCGATTCTCATCGCAAATGTACTCCGGAATGAATTCAGCAAGTTTTCTGAACTTGTGCTCTAGTTCTTTCACAGTGCATTGACCTCCTTGGGTCAAGTTCGTGTACTCCCTCCTCTTCATGTTTACTTCGAAGTCGGAGTAGTATTTGTTGGTCCCGGTTATACTGGACACAGTCTAGAGGGGGGGTGAATAGACTGTGTTGGTTTTTAGCTTTTTAGACTAAGTACCAGATTTACAGAATAGCCTGTTCTATTGAAAGAACAGACTGGCAGCGGATGGGGTTCTGGTAGGGAGTTCTGTTAGCCTCAGAGAAGCAATAGGCAGTAGGCCTTCTGTTAACTCGTAGAACAAGTTCTGCTGAACACAGATACCAAGTCCAAGGAGTTATACAGTTCTAACTAAGTGCAAGTATTAAAAGCAGTAAGTAAACGACACCAGGGATTTTTATAGTGGTTCAAGGAACAACTCGTTCCTCTAATCCACTGTTCCACTAAGCTGTAAAAACTGCCGTTTACAAAGCCTTAGTCCTAGTACTTAAGAAGCACTCCACGTCTTCTTCAAGCCTAGATGTGTCCTGGGATGCACTGCCTGGCTTCCTTTAACACTGGTCCTTTCACTGAGTTTCCTTGAAGTATCACCACTTCACTACTCCAGTTATTTGGACGTCCTTCTTGTAGTAAGAAGAGTTTCTGTTGAAACTGGGGTTCCTCCAACTAGCTTCGTTACAAAAGATTTGTATGTGATGAGCTTGAAGAGTTGAAGAACACTTGGAACTTTGCTTGTGTTGGAAAGAGTATTTTTTCCAACTTCTGCCTTCTCTTGTAGAGGATAATGAGTTTGAATCTCAAGGAGGCTTTTTGCTTTTCAGAGTTTGAATATCTTGCTTGTGGTTAGCAAAAGTTGCAATGTAATCTTGGCAAAGTTATAGCAAAAGTTATCCGGTTGTTCTTCGTAGTGTATCTTTTTATACTGAGGTTGTCTTCCCGTTGGAGGAGTAGGAGGACAACTGCATTTAATGCGCGATCAGTTGACTTGACTAGTAGAGCCCGATAAAGTTGGCGGGTTACTATTTTGGGATAAAGTATTCCTGACATTGCGGCCAATCATCTGCAATTACTCTACGTAGCATGGGGTGCATTAAATGAGCATTTAATGCATGCACTGTAGCTTTTCCGTTTCATACTCCTAGCCGTTGAAGGAATCTTTTAGTTGACTTCCCGGTTCTTTGAAAATCTTCTAAGTGTCAGACCTTCTGGTGTCTTTGTGTGAGAGTAGAACAGAGGAGGCCTGGAGCACTTCTGTTGGGAGTCTCCAACAGAGACCCGGAAGGGTTTTTGTCAGAGTCAAGACTAACAGAGATCCTGAGGACTTCTGTTCTGGAGCAGAGAACCAAGGGTCCTCTGTTCCAATAATGTCTTAAGAGGCACTTCTGCTCTTGAAGTCCTTCTGCTCTTGAAGGTCTTCTGCTCTTGAAGGTCTTCTGTCAAGTCGAATACATCTAAGAACTTTACAAAGGAAAATTCTAATACATAATTTCTAAAGGGGTACTCTAAGATCCTAATTAATCTAGCATCATCAAAATCTAATTACAATTATTCCTTACAATTTCCCCCTTTTTGATGATGCCAAAACCCTTTAACTATTTCCTGAGAAGTGCCTTCACCATGAAAAATATTAAGTTTAAAACTTCCATTAAAATCTTGGTGGGCAACTTGACATAGGAAAATAGTAAGAGTACGATACATTCAGATAGCAGAAAATAACAGAAATAAACAAACACAAGCAGAAGGCAAAAAAGACAAGAATTTGAGGAAAAGCACTTCAAAGTAAGAAGGCAGAGATGTGATTTTATTAGATAGGTTTTACAGAGTTTAAACCTTACACATTCTCCAGATTAGCTGCCTGTATAGCTTCTTCCTCTAGTCTTTGAAGCCTGAGCAGTTCTTCGTTTATTTCAGCTCTGATTTTGAACAGATTGCCAGACCTTTGATAAGATGCCCATATTGGAGAAAGCTTACAGTCCAAATAGTTGAGGACACCTTCATGTATGGTCTTTCCTGGGACAATGTTCTTCTTGTACCATTCTTCTGCTTCTTCAAGTGATCCTCCATACCTAACTCTGACAACGCCATCTTTGTCCAGATAGAGGTGCTGTTGTTGGGTAGGAGTCATTTTAGCCTTCATCTTTTCAAATTGAGATCTGTCAATGTTCTGAGAGCCACCCAATCTCCACTCAGTGAAGTTGAAAACTTTCTTCTTCTTGGTGCTCTTCTTTATTGGAGATGGGGGTCTAGGTATGCCTGCTGCTCTCTTCTTTTGTAGGGCAGCTTCAAAATAGGGAGCCGGATCTACTGCAGGCTCACCAGAGGAGGGTGCTCTGGTAGAAGTTCTGTGAGACCTAGGCCTGGTCTGTTGAGGGTCCTCTTCCCCCTTTTTGGCATCATTCAGATCTTCAATCATGAGACTGATCTTCTGGAATTCTGAGGCCTGGGTTGAGGCTATCTGCTCCAGGGCCTCTGGTAGTGTCTGGGTGACAGAGGTAAGGCCTTCAATCAGACCCTGCTGCTTCTGTATTGCAGAGAAGATGTCCTTGTTATTGGCTTCAAGGAGCACCATCTTCTTATGATGCTCTTGGACAGATGAAAGAGATTGGACAGCCTGTTCATGTTCCAGTTGAGTCAGAGGAGGGGTCTTCTGTCTCTTGGATGTGGCTTGATAAGACTTGCTGACCATGAATCCATGTCAGATGAGTCTTCATAAGAGGAGTATATGGGTATAGTGTTCCTGATGACCTTTTTCTTCTTTCTGAAGGAGGGATTGGGGGCAGTAGAATGCCTAGAATTCCCTTGAGGTGCAGAGATGGGGGAGACAGTTGTAGGGTCAGAATCCCTGAGAAACCATACAGGTTTAAGGTTTTCTGCAGGTTGTTGTGGAGGTGAAGATTCTGGAGGAGGAGATTGATGATCAGATTCAGAGGATGAGGAGGGGATTTGTTGGGGAGAGGGGATCTGGTGCTGGGGTGAAGAGTGAACAGGTGAGGCATTCTGTTGAGGGGGGATGGTGGAGGTGAGGGTGAACGATTTCTGAAGGGAACAATTGCTCTGCAGGGAGATGTAATTTTCTGTTTGGGTGAATGAGAAGGGGTGAGGGTTCTCTGTTTAGGAGATAAAGGTTCAGGGTGTTCTGGTGGAGGGGTTCTGGTGCTGGAAGGAGGTGAGGGAATGAGGGGTTCTGTTGGGATATTAACAGAGGGGGTTGGAGATATTACCTCAATGATGTTCTCCTTGAGCAAAGAAGTCCTCCACTCCTTGATATGCTCCATCATTGCTTGCCCTTCTGTCTTGGGTACAGAGGGCTCTCCTGGGTTGAGATGGGGTTGCATAGAGTCTGTTGCCATCTTTGTGAACAGCCATTCCTCAAATGCTTCAATTTCTTCCTCTGCAAGAGGTTTGACAGCCTCTTCTGAAGGGGAGGAGATGAGAATGGCCTTCCCTTTGTAGCTCACCTTCTTCTTCTCAAGAACAGAGTGAAGGAAGTTGAGGGCAAAGCATTTTGAGACATCATCAGTCCCAACCCAGCTCAGAATGGCTTCCTCTTCTGGCTCATAATGGTCAAAATATTGGATGATTTTGGAGAGGGGTCCCATTCTCCACCTTCTCCATTCGAGAACCCGGGTAAACTGTCTGTCTAACAAGGACAGATACCCATCTTTGACAGGACTAGGGTGTTCTGTTGAAGTAGACACCCTGTTCTGTTCAGGAGATGCAGCAGAGGTGGGGATCTCTGGTTCCCCCTGAGTGTCTGCCACTCCTTCAGATTCAGAAACCACAGGTTTAGAAACCTTCTTCTTTGGTTTGGTGGTTCTCTTCCTCTTCTGTCCGGCCTTAGGAGGGGCAACAGGTGCTTCCCCTTCAGTCTTCTTCTTCTTCTTTTTCTTCTTCTCAGCAGAAGGGGCTACAGAGAGAGGTTTCTGTACCTTCTCTCCCTGTTGTCTCTTAGCCTCAAGTTGAAGCTGTCTCTTCATTTCAGCCTTTATGGCTTTCTCCCTATTTGGAGAAGCAGTTAAGAAGATTACCTTGGTGTGATCCAAGGTTGAAGCATTCCTCAAGTGTATTCCTTGTCTGAGAAGCACTTCTGAAACCAATAGCCCATGTCCTAGCTTCCCAGAGTAGAGGCTAGTTTTTGGGTTCTTCTTCTTGATGACTTCAATCAGGGACTTCACCATGACTTGTCCCCAATTGATGTTCACTCCATGATGCACTGCATACAGGGCCTTGGCATTGGCAGTTGTGACATCATCTGTGGAGGAGTACTTGCACCATAAACATTTGTGGAAAATGTTTATGAGCAGCTCAAATTCCCTTTTGAGCAAGTTCTTCTTGATGTTGATCTTCTCTACTTCTTCCCCTTTTCTGCAGAACTTCTTCTTGAATTCTGTCAGAGAGATGTCAGTATCCTCCAAGTCAAGTAGAGAGTCCCTACCTTCCTTTTGCTGAATGTTGAAGATGTTGTTGATGACGTCAGCATCAATCAACACCTTTTCTCCTTGGACGACGGAGGAGATGACTTCATCCTTGAAGGATGAGTTGAGATAGAACTCAACAGTGTCCACGTTGTTGTAGGCTTCATAACCATGGGAGATGATTTTGCTCAGTTGGCATTTAGATAGACCATCAACAATGGCGGTCATCCGCTCCTTTTTCTCTGCAAACCTGGGTAGTACTTCCAGTTCGCATCTCAGTCCAGTCAAAACATTCTTTAGGAGGGTTGCCTTTTGTTCCTTGGAGAGATCGGAGAAGCTCAAGAAGGCCATGGAGTTTACTGCGGTTAGAAAATTTCTGAGAGATAAGAGTTCAAAAGCTTGAGAGTTATGAGAGCAGTAACGGTTTAGGTTTGCGAAAGGGGGTTTTAAGGATATGGGTTAGTGGACGTTTGAGATAATTTACGGTTCCAAGATACCAATAAATGTAAAAAGGGGCGCAGTAAATAAACGGGGGCGCAGTAAATTTTATACGGCTTGATACCGTTTTAAGGGTAAAAGGGTAAAAGACCTTTAATAATTTACTAGGTCACCCGGTTTACAAGATTTTCAAAGTCCACCACCTTCTGTTAGATAAGAGAGGGTCTTTCAGTAAGAAGGGGGGGTTCTGTTGCTGAGGTGTTCTGCCAGGGTAGCGACCAGAAGAGGTTGACAGAGGGGGGTTAACAGAAGGGGTTCTGCTACAAGAATTCTGTCAACAGCAAAAGAGCAACAGAGGGCCTTCCTTTTCATCTTTCCCTTGGAATCTCATCCATCATTCCCAATTCCTCTCTCAGTTTGTTGAACCTAGCCTCAGGGAGAGGCTTTGTCAGGATATCTGCAAGCTGGTCTTCTGTTGGCACATGTTCCATGCAGATGTGCTTCTTCTCCACATGATCTCTGATGAAGTGATGTCTGATCTCAATGTGCTTTGTTCTGGAATGAAGAACTGGATTCTGAGTGATAGCAATGGCACTGGTGTTGTCACACAACAGTTTGATCTCCTTTGCTTGAATTCCATAGTCCTTCAGTTGTTGCTTCATCCAGAGTAGCTGAGCACAACAACTCCCAGCTGCAATGTACTCTGCCTCAACTGTACTTGTTGAGATGGAGTTCTGCTTCTTGCTAAACCAGGAAACAAGCCTTCCTCCTAGCAATTGGCAGTGACCAGAGGTGTTTTTTCAGTCTAGTCTGCAACCTGCAAAATCTGAGTTAGAATAACCAATTAGCTCAAAGTTACCTCCCTTTGGATACCATAGGCCTGCATTTGGATTTCCTTTGATGTATCTGATGATTCTCTTTGCAGCACTTAAATGGCTTTCTTTGGGCTTTGATTGGTATCTGGCACAGATTCCAACAGAGAATGAGATGTCTGGTCTGCTTGCAGTTAGATACAACAGAGATCCTATGATTCCTCTATATGTTGTTGCATCTACATCCTTTCCTTCATCATCTGGACCAATTCCTTGTGACGTGTTCATGAGAATCTTCACTGATGATTTGCCTTCCACTCCAAACTTCTTGATTAGATCTCTGGTGTACTTCCCTTGATTGATAAAGATCCCTTCTGGAACTTGTTTGACTTGGAGTCCTAGGAAGTAACTGAGTTCTCCCATCATACTCATTTCAAATTGACTCTGCATCACTTGAGAAAATTTCTTGCACAGTTCTGGATTAGTACTACCAAATATAATGTCATCAACATATATTTGTACTAACAGAATATGATTAGCAACAGAGATTTGAAATAGAGTTTTGTCAAGCTTTCCTTTAGTAAACTCATGGTTCACTAGGAAAAGGGACAATGTGTCATACCAGGCTCTGGGAGCTTGCTTAAGACCATAGAGGGCCTTTTTAACCTTGTAGACACAAGAAGATTGAGTAGGAATGACAAAACCTGGTGGTTGTTCCACATAAACTTCCTCTTCAAGATCTCCATTCAGAAATGCACTCTTGACATCCATCTGGTAGACCTTGATGTTGTTGTAGGCAGCATAGGCTAGAAAGATTCTGATGGATTCAAGTCTGGCAACTGGTGCAAAGGTCTCATCAAAATCTATTCCTTCTTCTTGACAATATCCTTTAGCTACTAGCCTTGCTTTGTTCCTTACAATGTTGCCATCTTCATCTGCTTTGTTCTTGAATACCAATTTGGTTCCAATGACATTCTGGTGCTTTGGCCTAGGAACAAGTTCCCATACTTTGTTCCTTTCAAACTGAGTGAGCTCTTCTTACATAGCATTGATCCAATCTGAGTCTGCAAGAGCTTCTTCAATTGTCATAGGTTCCATCTGAGATATATAGCAGGCAAGCATTGCTTCTCTCCTTGATGTGGATCTGGTTTGAACTCCACTTCTGATTTGACCAATCACTTGGTTAGGAGGATGATCTCTTAACCATGTTAGGTCTGGTTCTGTCAGCTGCTGTCTTGGTCTTTCTGGTTCCTCATCTTCAGAGTCTTCATCTTCATTCAACAGAAGGGGGTTTGGGGCAGGTGTTGGAAATGCAGGATTGTCTGCCACCTCTTCTGTTGGTTCTGGTGTTCTGTCTTCTATGTTGACTTCTTTGAGAATCTCTGTTACCTCTTTAACAGAGGTGCTTTCATCAAACTTCACATGTATGGATTCTTCAACATGTAGGGTCCTTCTGTTGAGTACTCTATAGGCTTTACTGATGTTTGAATAGCCTATAAAGACTCCTTCATCAGCCTTTTCTTGAAATACTTTCAGATGCTCCTTTCCATTGTTGAGGATGTAGCACTTGCATCCAAATACATGAAAGTAGCTGATGTTAGGTTTTCTTCCCTTCCAGAGTTCATAAGGGGTCTTCTGGTGATTCTTGTTGATCATGCTTCTGTTCTGAGTATAACATGCAGTGTTGATTGCTTCAGCCCAATATCTCATAGGCAATCCAGATTCTGCAATCATTGTTCTTGCAGCTTCTTTTAAAGTTCTGTTCCTTCTTTCTGCTACGCCATTCTGTTGAAAAGTTCCATTCTGATCACAGAAGTCCTTTATGACTTGGTTGACAAATTTAGTTCCTCTGTCTGATCTGATTGTCTTCACTTTCAAGTTCTTCTCAGTCTGAAGTTGCTTTAACAGAGATGGCAACTTCTGAAGAGTTTCATTTTTCTTTGATAGAAAAACAGTCCATGTATATCTGGAGTAGTCATCAACCATGACTAAGGTATATTTCTTGCCACCAACGCTTGGAGTCTCAACAGGTCCAAATAAATCCATGTCAATCAGATTTAGAGGACTTGTAGAAAGATCTCCAGCAATGGGTTTGAAGGAATTTTTCACTTGTTTGCCTCTCTGACATGCACTGCAGAGGATCTCCTTCTTGTACACAATGTCTGGTAGCCCTTCTACAATGTGTTCTCTGGCCAGTTTGTTGATTGTTTTGAAATTCAAATGGTTGAGCTTTTTGTGCCAGTCCCAGCTTTTTGTCTCATGCTTCACATAGCAGAAGTCCTTTGTGAATTCAACAGTGTAGCCTTTGTCACAGAATTGGCTAGCACTTAGCAAGTTGAACTTCAGTCCTTTGACATATGAGACATCATCAATGATTATCTGGTTCCTGATCAGCTTTCCTCTTCCTTTTGTTTGACCTTCTTTGTCATTACCTTCAAAGGTAACTCTAGGTCCTTTGCATTTCTGGAACTCTGTTAGGCAACTTCTGTCACCTGTCATGTGCCTGGAGCATCCACTATCAATAAACCATTCTTGTTCAGAGATGGCTCCAGCACACAGTTCCTGCAAGATCAAAAGAAAGATTTAGGTACCCAAGCAATGCTGGGTCCTGGGGGGTCATGGAGTCTGGGTAGTTGGTACCATTTAGGTCTCATCAAGTGAAACCTTGGTGGGTGGTACCCATTGTCCACCTGGTAGTTATAGTAAACTGAAGTGTGATTCACTTTGGGCAGATGCTTGTGAGGGTCATGCTTCCTGTTTACATACTTTTGCATAGCTTTCTTTGTTGGAAAGAAGTCCCATATACTATCAAGAGCAGAGGGACGGTTAACCTTGGGCTTCTGAAGTTGACCAGCCAACCTCTTTTGCCTGAAGTTAACTTTCTCTTGATATTTGCCCTTCTGGTGATCATTTCTGGCACGATTGACATGAGGTTGTCTGTCAATGAATGGTCTTTTATTTTTGTTATTTTGAAAACCTCTTCTGTTGTTAGGTTTTCTGCCAGGTTCATTATTTTTCAAAAAGGGTTTCTGTTGAACCTTTATCTTGCCTTTTTCTGGTCTGACTTCCTCATGAACAACCTTGGTGCCAGATACACCAGCTTGACAGATGGGGCTAGAAATCAGTGGCTCTATGACCTTATCTGCCTTAGCAACTCTGGTGCTAGGCATTACAGAAGGCTCACCTGATTCTGTTGAGCCATAACCAAGACCAAAACCAGTGCCAATCTGTTGATCAAGTACAATCTTTTCCATGGAAGACTGGGCCTTCTGGTAAGCTTTGTACTTAATCTCGAGAGGCTCTATTTCTCTTATTCTCTTAAGAAGAGAAACATTTTCAGTCTCCAGTTGATCTCTTTTCTCAATTAGAAGATTGATTTTGATCTCAACCTCCTTCTTTAGGTCAAGAATTTCAGCTTTTAACTTACTGTTTTCTTCTGTTACAGAGGAATAAGTGGCTTGTATGGCCTTAAACTCTTCCCAAAATTCTGACATTGAATCGGAATCAAAAGCTAAGCCTACCGAAGAAAAATTAGATTCAGAAGTAGAGGTTACCTCATCATCAGAATGAGCCATGAAGCAAAGATCTTCTGTCTCAGTATCAAGGCAATAGAAGGCCTCATCAGAATCTGAGTCAGAACTGGATTCTGTTTCTGACAGAGGGTCTTTCTCCAGCTGTTCTGTCACAAGTGCCTTCCTTCTTCTGGAGTTGTCCTCGTACTTCTTCTTTTCTCCATCCTGTCCTTGCTTCTTGGACACTCTAGGATGGGGACAGTCAGCCTTGAAGTGGCCAGGTTGTCTGCAATTGTAACATAGAAGCTCTCCACTGCTTTCTGTTGATTTGACCTTCTGGTATGACTTTCTGTTGAAGGATGGACTCCTTCCATCTTTGGGATTCTTCATAAACTTTTTGAATCTCCTGGCAAAGGCAGCCATATATTCATCAGATAAAAGTACTGAAGGGTCAAAGTCATTTACCTTAGATGTGCTGGCAGTGAGGGCTGTAGTGGTCCTCTCTTCTGGTACATCTTCCTTCTCTTCAATCATTTCAAACTCATGAGCTTTGAGATCTGAAATGAGCTTATCAGTGGGATAAGTCTTTACATCCTTGCTGGCTTGGACAGCAACTACCTTCATCTTCCATGCTGAGGGCAGTCCCCTCAACACCTTCAGGTTGATCTCCTTGGTTGTGAGATCCTTGCCAAGCTCAGAGATCTCTCCAGTGAGAGTGAGGAGCCTGTCATACATCTTGGAGATGCTTTCACCAGGGAGAAGTTTGAAGTCATCAAACTTCTTGTTGGCTATGGTTAGTTTGTTGTCCTTCTCTTGCTCATCACCAGCTCCAATGAGCTCAAGAGTATCCCAGATTTCCTTAGCAGTCTTGCACTTCTTGATTCTGTTGAAGTACCTATCATCAATGGACTTGTAGAGGATGTCCTTGGCAATATTGTCTAGGTTGTACTTTCTCCTCTCTTCAGTGGTCCATTCTGACTTGGCTTTACTAATCATCTGGGGTCTGGTGTTGTCTATGGCATGTTCAGGATTGACCTTCTGGAAGCTAGTGAAGGGGCCAATGTCAAGAACTTCCCACATTTCATCATTCAGGGCACAGAGATGTGCTTTCATCCGGATCCTCCAGTCATCAAACTTAAGATCTGAAAACATAAGATTCTTGGACAAGGAGTGATCCATTATATCAGATAGAAATGAGGTTAAACAGAAAAACAAGTGGATCTTTGTTCAACAAATAACCTAAGAGATTATTAGAACAAGGAGGCTCTGATACCACTTGTTGGTCCCGGTTATACTGGACACAGTCTAGAGGGGGGGTGAATAGACTGTGTTGGTTTTTAGCTTTTTAGACTAAGTACCAGATTTACAGAATAGCCTGTTCTGTTGAAAGAACAGACTGGCAGCGGATGGGGTTCTGGTAGGGAGTTATGTTAGCCTCAGAGAAGCAATAGGCAGTAGGCCTTCTGTTAACTCGTAGAACAAGTTCTGCTGAACACAGATACCAAGTCCAAGGAGTTATACAGTTCTAACTAAGTGCAAGTATTAAAAGCAGTAAGTAAACGACACCAGGGATTTTTATAGTGGTTCAAGGAACAACTCGTTCCTCTAATCCACTGTTCCACTAAGCTGTAAAAACTGCCGTTTACAAAGCCTTAGTCCTAGTACTTAAGAAGCACTCCACGTCTTCTTCAAGCCTAGATGTGTCCTGGGATGCACTGCATGGCTTCCTTTAACACTGGTCCTTTCACTGAGTTTCCTTGAAGTATCACCACTTCACTACTCCAGTTATTTGGACGTCCTTCTTGTAGTAAGAAGAGTTTCTGTTGAAACTGGGGTTCCTCCAACTAGCTTCGTTACAAAAGATTTGTATGTGATGAGCTTGAAGAGTTGAAGAACACTTGGAACTTTGCTTGTGTTGGAAAGAGTATTTTTCCAACTTCTGCCTTCTCTTGTAGAGGATAATGAGTTTGAATCTCAAGGAGGCTTTTTGCTTTTCAGAGTTTGAATATCTTGCTTGTGGTTAGCAAAAGTTGCAATGTAATCTTGGCAAAGTTATAGCAAAAGTTATCCGGTTGTTCTTCGTAGTGTATCTTTTTATACTGAGGTTGTCTTCCCGTTGGAGGAGTAGGAGGACAACTGCATTTAATGCGCGATCAATTGACTTGACTAGTAGAGCCCGATAAAGTTGGCGGGTTACTATTTTGGGATAAAGTATTCCTGACATTGCGGCCAATCATCTGCAATTACTCTACGTAGCATGGGGTGCATTAAATGAGCATTTAATGCATGCACTGTAGCTTTTCCGTTTCATACTCCTAGCCGTTGAAGGAATCTTTTAGTTGACTTCCCGGTTCTTTGAAAATCTTCTAAGTGTCAGACCTTCTGGTGTCTTTGTCTGAGAGTAGAACAGAGGAGGCCTGGAGCACTTCTGTTGGGAGTCTCCAACAGATACCCAGAAGGGTTTCTGTCAGAGTCAAGACTAACAGAGATCCTGAGGACTTCTGTTCTGGAGCAGAGAACCAAGGGTCCTCTGTTCCAATAATGTCTTAAGAGGCACTTCTGCTCTTGAAGTCCTTCTGCTCTTGAAGGTCTTCTGCTCTTGAAGGTCTTCTGTCAAGTCGAATACATCTAAGAACTTTACAAAGGAAAATTCTAATACATAATTTCTAAAGGGGTACTCTAAGATCCTAATTAATCTAGCATCATCAAAATCTAATTACAATTATTCCTTACAGTATTGGTTAAAGAACTCTTGTCGGAAGTTCTCCCAAGTGATGGCCTCATCGTACTTTCCTTTAATTCCGTCCCACCACGTGGACGCCATGCCTTCTAGCAATCTCGTTGCTACTCTCATTTTCATGTTTGGCGGCAGCTGCATGTCAAGGGTCTCCTCGTTGAATCTTTTGATCCATTCAGCCACAATGGAGATGTCTCCCGTTCCATCGAACGGTTTGCACCCCAAATCCCTTGCTTCTTTTAGGTATTTCGAGATCCTTATTATTGGGACCTCGACACCTCTTCCCTCTCGGAGTTCCTCATGTCCCCTAGAGCTAACATGGCTTCCTCTTCTGGAAGCCCCTCCCAAAGCACGCCTTGCCCGGCGCATTTGGCGATCTTGTTGGTATTGCCGAAACAATTCCTCAATCCTCTTGAGAGAGTCATTATCATCGCTCCCTTGACTATCGTCATCATATTCCCCATCATATGGGGTCTCAACCGGCTCAGTTCCCGATTGATAAGTTGAATCCTCCTCGGATACATAGAACTCGTCTGTGGTCTCCACATGACCGTCGCTCATGGTCTGAGCTTGGCCTCCACGGCCTTGTCCCCTAGACACTCTAGAAATCACTTTACTGCCGCGCTCGGACCCTCCCGGTGCCCGGCCAGTCGGGTTCCTCCTAGTTACTTTCCCGGTATGCTCCATTTCTGAAAGAAATTGAGAGCGAGTCATTAGACTCGTATCAAGTGTCAATTGACGAATATGTACTTAAAGACATCCTTTGGCACAAATCATCGTCATACCAATTGTTAAGGGTACCATCTTAACAATTAGAAGCATTGCAACTCAAGTACCAAAAGTTGTATAAGTACAAAACTTCTTATGTTCATGGGTTTCAAATTCATTTTCAAAAAGAATTTTGAAGCTTCATTATGATGTTTACGGACTAAGGCTCTGATACCAATCAAATTGTCACGCCCCGGACCCACCCGGACACGTCAACAATCTGCCGTACAGTACGAATAGTCAACCGCAGTTCAACACTTCCATACTATACAAGGCGTCTCGAATATCATTCACACATAGTAGTACATCCATAAACAAACATAATGTAAAACATTCATTAAAACAGCGGAAACATTAATACAAGTGTTCAAGCCACACTTGGAAAACTTAGTCATACAAGCCCTCAAATAATTATTCAAAAAATAATATCCATGAGCATTATTCACATTGTTTTCAAAACAGAACCGGAAGAAGCACGAACCAAGTCTTCTTCCTTTGATCTCCCCGAAGCAACAGGCGGTGGTAGAAACCTTCAAGTTCTACCTGAAACTGTGAGGTGGCCTCCTCTGTGAAGGGGATCTCAGTACTTTGAAGCATTTGAAAAGTACAATGACAATAACACTGTATATAATCAATGTTTCAATTTCTAAGACCCTCAATCTAGGGTGATACTATATTATAGGCTCTAAACCTCAGTTACCCTATTTAAAACCTACTTACCTTATATATAAGGTTACGTAGTCGGCCCGTGGGCCCATGCTTACCTTATCACGACTCTTTACCATGGTAGAGTCACACTCACCGATATCATTCCGTCGTGCTAGAGGCTGACTCTAGTCACTCCATTTCGTGCTAGAGGCTTCCTCTAGTCACTCTACATTATGCTAGAGGCTTCCTCTAGTCATTTCTCATCGTGCTAGAGGCTCCCTTTAGTCACTCTCCGTTATGATAGAGGCTTCCTCTAGTCATCTTACGTTATGCTAGAGGCTTCCTCTAGTCATCTTACATTATGCTAAAGGCTTCCTCTAGTCACCATTCAATATGCTAGAGGCTCCCTCTAGTCATATTATCAAATTCCTAAGCAACTTCTATGCCTATGATCACTTCATATTGAGTAGCCTTTAAGGCCCACCCCTAGCTTAACTTAGCATTTACACATTCCTACCTTAAAGACTACTTAAGGTATATCTTTCACAATCCAAGCCCTTAGGATTTATTCTATCATTTTTCATGTTAACATTCCAACTAGTTTTTCAATGCTAGTCAAGTAATCTTAGAACAACCAAGTTTTTAATTCATAGACATATTGCTCATCTCAATTGATTTTCCAATCCAAATATGATTTAACCCCAATATAAAAAATATCACTTTTATCCATTCATGATTTCTTTACATGAAGTAAAAGTATATTTTATCACAATATTTCACAATTAATTTCATGATCATGCTATCATATTCATAATACACAATCATACACAATCTCTTCTAAATTTGTATAGCATGCTTCATTTACTCATATGCAATAGTATTTTCATTTAGGCATTATTAATCATTAATAATCCATGAAAATCACACATAATACTTTAGACAATCTTATGAAATTAACTCACTAATTATAAGCAATATAGTCGGTCATCCTCACCTCGACTGAGCTTTAAGAAGTTCTATCCTTCTCGGTTGAACTCCGGTGAAACTCCGGCGAAATCCGGCGATACTCCGGCGATAATCCAGTGACAGTTAGGAACATCTTAGTCAAGCTCCTAATAAGGTTTTATCATCACAAAACCCATATCAACACAAATAACCTCTAAAAGGTTATTTTCCGGCGAACCGGTCATTTGGCTTCTAAGTTTGTTCTTGGACTTAGAACTACCTTCCAACCCCTTGTTCTACACTTCTAAACATGTAGAAAAATCCTAGGGGTACTCCATATGCTATATAAGTCATAAGATAAATAATAAGTAGAGGAAAAGTTATTATAAGGTTATTACCTAAATCCTTCACATTTTTCCTAACTTTTTCCTTCTTTTCTCTTCTTCCTTGGACCAACTTTGCTTTAGCTATGTTCTTGGATATGGAGGAAGTAATTTGCAGAGGTTTTCTTCCCCTCTTGGTGATCTTTGGTCTAGCATATGGGTGGGGGTGATTGAGAATGCCTTTTTGGCATTTCTCTCAATCATACATAAAAGGGGTCCTACCTCCTTTAATGCTTGGTCTCTCAATTAATTTTCTTTCATGCATCTAGTGGCTTGTGCGGCTCCTCCTTGCTAAATGAAGTCTAGAAAACGTGGGTTGGCCCCCACATAAGTGGGAGGTCACCCCTTTGAGCCCAGAAGTGTACAATCGGCCCCGAAAGTTGTATTTCGCGGACTGTTCTATTTATATTTTATTTTATCGGTCAAATAAAATATAACACATGTTCCAAATCATTAAAGGCTTTTAGAATGGATGTAAATTCCACAACTTATATTTAGAAGTCTCCGAAATTCATTTTGGACTGTTATCCGATAAATTGTCAATACCGGTAATTGGACCTCGTTTGACCAACGGGTCAACTTTATGCCTTATCTATGGCTCAATTAAAATATCCACCACCATAAACATATTATATAGACCAATACGAATATAATATGTGGTTCTGGAATTATCGGGTGGTCCCCGTTCCTGGTGTTGGCCCCACGTGCAATTTACTTCTCACGTAAAAGAATTAATAAAAATTTACAACTTTGCAAATTCATAATTCATTCCTCAAGGTTTATTATATAATTTACTAAAAAGTAAATGTGCTTGGGGACACTGTTACATCAGCAGCCTCAGCCAATCCACCAAGTGCCTTTTGAGGAGGTAAACTTCGCTGATATGGCTGTGGATCAACCATTCGGGGATCTACATTCTAATCCCCTTTTTAATGATGTCCCGGGTTCATTCAGTATTGTCAATGTTGGGGCCGGAAATGCCTCTGTTTCTAGGCCCGTGGAGCCAATCTCGCTGGACGACCCGATCCACATGATAACAGAACAAGGCGGATGCTATCCCGCTCGGGTCTGGAGTACTTCTGCTATGATGAATGACTATCGTCTACCGCGACTTTCGGTCGAGCAGGCCGAACAGAGGGTTGCCCTGGCTACTCTTAAGGTAACTTCCCTCCGTTTGTTCCCTGTTCATCTTTTCATGTTGTTTGGTAAATATTTGTTTTGTACTATATGTCGGCTACTATTCTGTCCAGCTTCAACTCGCTCGGCTGGAGAGAGAGGAAGAGTTGGTCAGGGCTCGACTTTCTGCAGAGCAGGCGACTGCAGAAGTGCTTCAGACGGCTGATCAGGAGCGGAAGAAGCTTGAAACCGAGCTTGGTCAACTTCGGGTAGATCTTGCCCGTTCGCAAGCTAAGGTTGCTGCGGCTGAGGCCGTTCAGGTCGCATTCCAAGAACGCGAGCCCCAAATCCCGGACGGTCCCCTGGAAGTCAGGGCGGATCTGTCTAATGTTCTATCGGCAGCCCAGGATGCATATCTTGCTTCGGAAGATTTCAAGAAGGCTGCTGAGGACTATGGATTGGCTCAAGCAGGCACCCTGTTCGGGAAGCGCTTAGAACAACTCCTTGCATGCTCCACCCGCCTCGATGGGGGTGAATATGGCCGACGAGACTGTGGTTGGCAAGGAATGGGTTGAGGGTTTGGCCAAGACTACCTACGTCGAGGGCTGTCAGCGGGTCATGGAGGGGGTGGTGCCGATCCTGGAGCAGTTCATTGGCCGGTCGGTTGAAACCAAGGATTTTTCTAAGGACAAGGTCCTACTGAATCAATTTGAGAAGTTCCGGCGCAACCAAAAGCGGATAGCCGACCAGGCCGCGGTTAGGGAGCTTGCGCCCCCAACTGATGATGAGGCCGATGAAGAAGAGGATGACGAGGCCGAAGAGTAGAGATGTCGGCCAGTACTTTATTTTGATAATTTATTTTGCGTCTTTAATCCTTAATGTAGATCCCGGCCAGTAGTGTCGAAGAGTAAAATACTTTTTTGTCTCTGTCGCTGAATCACTCACATGATTTATTTCCTTTCTTGTTTTTTAATTTCCGTTCGGTCATTCGAACTTTCCAACGTATCATCTAGGACTTACCATTTTCATACCAACTATGTCCCGTTCGATATCTGAACAGGATCTGATAATTTCCAATTTATTCCTTCTTTTACCTACTTCTGAACCGTTAGGACGAGATATTAGAAGTTTTGTAGTTGCCCTTCCTATCCCTTCCCGGCTCTTACGCCGCTCGGGACATTCCATTAGTTGTTGAATCACCCAGAGGAATTCTTCCAAGCCCTTTGGATTTGGTGTTTTCCTGGCGTTATGAGGCCGTTCGGTATGTCTCTACGACCTCTGGGGTATTCCACTTAGTTCCTGCCACGTGTCCCTCCGGGGTTTGGCTTTAGGACGGTGAATTTCCTTTATAAATATGGGGAAGCTGGTTCCCTATTATTTTCTGCTGCTTCTCTTTCATTGTGCTAGTGCTAGCTTTCTTTCTCTAAACATTCTTCAAGATTTTCTTCTCTGAGGTATTTATAACCCCCTTTCCCTTTTTTATGTCCAGTTACTTTTCTTCAGACGAGGAGGAAATGGTTTTGGTTCGTCGTTCTTTGAGGGAAAAGGCTAGCCCGAGCGGCGAAGTACCTAATTTCCCTTCTCAGTCTTTGGAAATGCAATGTAAGCTTGAGAGTAAATAAAATCTAACCCTTACAATATAAATGCTGCTATTTATACTAGATGGGGGTACGGGGTGCTCTAATATGATTGATTGCTTCCCATGCCACTTGATGCCCCTATGATCCAGCATTAACTGCAGTCGGTTACTCGAGCAATGTTCGTTCGGGATTAAGTCCAGCTAAGCCATCAATCAGAAATAAGCTAATTACCCAAGTATTAATTATATCCCATTCGGGATATGCCGAACGGGCCCTACCGTTCGGGCCTGATGATTCTCCCTGGGTCTTTCCTTGCGTCGGGGCTTCAGGGATATTTTGGGTCACCATATTGGGCCGGACCTTAATATCCCATCAATTTTAAAATGGGTTATAGTCCATTTAAATGTTTAAAAATAGGTAGTAAAAAATAATTAAATTATCGAGAGCGAACCTAGACCAATTAAGAGATTGGAACCGAAGATAAAGTCATGGGTCACCCTAATTATTTAACACTAACCAGTTTGGGTGTGTAACCCGTCCTAAACTATAATGTCTTTAACAATATTTCACATGTAAACATGTTCATATTTTGTCAAAAATTAATTTACAAGTTATTATTATACTTGTAGTGATCTCAAAAAAAAACTAGTGAGAGAAGCTCTGGCGTTTCCGTGAGATGTCCGACCACCCACTTGCGGTGGCTCAATCGCCGCCAAATCCACCCCGAAAAAATGTTTGGTTGCAGAAATCTTTTGATGAGGTGCTTGTGAACCAATCAGATCCTCCCTTTTCTGTGAAAAAACCTTTGCGGTTTAAAGGTCTCCCAACAATTAATTTTCCTGAAGAGGAAATTCAAACGCTCGCAGCTCATCATAAATAGGGGTGGACTCGGGCCGGGCCAACCGGCCCGGAACCGGACCGGCCCGCCACTGTGCGGGCCCGAACCTGGCCCGGTGAACTGGTTGGTTGGCCGGTTCGAGCCACCCAGCCCGGTGGATTCTCGGTTCAAGCTCGAGCCCTTCAAAAGGTGAACCGGCCCGACCGGTTCAGGCCCGGGCCGGGCCAATTTTAATTTTTTTTTTTTGAATTTTTTTTGAGTTTTTGGGTTTTTTTGAGGTGGTTAGGGTTGGTTTGGGGGTGAGGGGGAGGGGTGGGGGTTAACTAGGAAAAGCCCAAAAAACAAAAACGAGGCCCAGCCCGGCCCGGACCCGAGGGTTACCTGGGCCGGTTCCGGGCCTCCCATACCTTGAACCGAGGCCCGGCCGGTTCAAGGCCCGAAGCAGGCCCGACCCGAACTGAGTCCATCCCTAATCATAAACGGGTTCTGGTAGGTTATTTTTACAAGA